AGCTTTATGAAAATCATAAACTAATATGAATTTATAAAGTGAAGAAAGGTAAAGAGTTTTGACTTTAAGAAAAGGATAGTGAAGTTCAAAACTATTAAAGACTATCCAGATATAGTAATCATCACTTGATAAAGGAAAAGAAAAGAAATGATTGAGAAAATCCTAAAAGAAAATAAAAGAGAAAGAAAGAAAAAGAAAAGAAAAGAAAAAGAAAAGATAAGAAAAAAAAATGAAGAGAAGCATGAGGAGATGCCTAATAAAAAATTGGTTTCACTTAAATCAACTTAAGGAAAAAGCTGTATTACATTTTTTAAACTTATATTGGATTATTAGTAGCATTATTAGTAATGTTTTCTTGAAATTATTTTTTCATATATGAATATTCTAAAATATCCTTGATATGACAAATTGCAATTCTTCTTGAAATGAATAGAGATTTAGAAATCTTAAAATTGACTACTAAGTACTCTTAAACTTAGAATTTGAATCTAAGTTACTAAAGGTTTTTCTTAAATTTTACTATTTTATTTATTGAACTAAAGTATAGAAGTTATAAGTTAGTCTCTATCCTAAGTCAAATGTTTTTATGTAGTAAAAGTGTCACTTGAGGAAAAGTAACATTTAAGTTTCAGGGATTTTAATAAACCCAAATAATATGTAGTTTTAAGTATATATTATATGCTTATTTTTTGTGATATTATAGTTTAAAGAAAGGTATTTTCATGTGTTTAATGCAGGTATATCAATTTTAGGCATTTGGAGCAAAAATAACAAAAAGGACAAAGTTTGTAACCAATACATCGAATTTTTGATTTCTGGCGCAAGATGCGCTAGATTGGCACATGATGCTTCAGCGTGGCGCCAGAAGCACTAGATTGGCGCCAGATGTGCCAAAACCTAGAACAACGCTGTCTTCAGCAAACTGGTGCATGATGCGTTAGATGGTGGAGCTACTATAGAGTGGCACATGATGCGCCAAAATTTAATGAACTATTTGGCGCATGATGCGCTAGAGACAACTTTTTGTGGATTAAGGCGGTTCGAGATGAATTTTGCAAAAATTTTCAAAGGGACACTTTTTCTAAAAACCCCTTGGAGTAATTTAATGCATCTAGACACTTTTGAAGGTTGTTTTACGAAGGGATATGTTTCTTGGATCAATAGACATTTATTTTGAATTCAAAAGAGTTGACTTTTTGACAAAATTTTGGAGGAAATTTTGAATTCTTTTTGGAGGGTGGCAGCCTTTGATAAAAGAAAGTAAAGTCTAGGGCTTGAAAAAAAAGAGAGTTGGAAGTTGTGTGAGCTGTGTGTGGCGTGAAGGAGGGATAGAGATAGAGAGAGAGAAAGTCAAGGGCTTGGAGATTTTGTTCAAGTATTGTAAGAGAAGAGGGCAGGTGAGAGATTTCTTCTTCATAACACTTCTATGAGAGAATTAAGAGTGCTTGTAAAGAGAGAAAGGCTTGAAGAGAACCTCTAGGGATTTGCTTGGGAAGGATTGTGAGATAAGTTGTGTCTTTTATTTCTTTTGTTTTGTAAACTTATTTTTATATATGAAATCCGTGATTTTTCGTATCATTCTCATGAATTTTGAGTAGTTCTCTTTATTCTTCTCCCTACTTTGAGATATGGTTTTGTGAAGAATTGATTTTATTTTATATGATTTTAAATGTCAATAATTTGTGATGATTTGAACTCTGATCTTCATTTACTTTTTGATCTGGCCAATTGAAATGTTAAAATGTGTTGAGAAACATATGTTTCAAAAGGGCTATGATTTTTACAACATGAGGAGAATCACATTTAATTTCATGGGAGAGTATTTCATCCATGGAATTGGGTGCAAATAAATACGAAAATATACTTTGTTGGATGCAAAATTGGAGATTTTAAAGTGACAGATTAAAATCCCTAATTTGGTCTAGTTGATTTGAAAATGATGCAAAATTGTTAGCCTTCAAGGTAGGGAGTAGTGGGAGCTCTGGAGTGACAGCCAGTATCCTCCCAGCCTAAGTACGGAATTAGGGGCCAAACTCTAGATTAATCAATGTTCTTTATGCACTCGAAAAATGGTAAAGAAAATGATTGCTCCTATTTGACAGAAAACAATTTTTATATATATTTTCAAATGATTTTAATTTCTTCATAATCCTTGTACTCATTGTAAATAGGAATGATGCTTTCTTAAATTTGAACTTTCCGTCACAACATCTTAGTTTTAATTTTCGTAAGTTTACTTTTGAAAGTTTTACATTTATTATAGTTGAATTTGTCTTTCAACTGCAACTTTAATTAGCATTCACTTGTTACTTAGTATTCTAATTTCTTACTTTACTTTTTATATTTTTAAAATTATACTTTACCTTATAATCTTAAAAACTTATTTAGAGGCATTTCCAACTTCTCTGTGGGATCGATATCTAAAACTCCATTAGAGCTCTTTATTACTTAAGTGATACGTATACTTGCGTTATTTTTAAAGGAGATTTGACAGTTTAAAGATTTTTAAAAGATAAAACTATTTTAAGTGAAGTTATTTTGTTGGGATTAATTTGCATATTTGTTATTGTATCTACCATGTGTATTTTGTAATATTGAAAAATATTTGCAAAATTAACACACTAAATCCACCTACATCAATCACCAATTTGGTTCAGTTGATTAGAAACTGATGCAGGATTGTTAGCCCTGAGGGGAGGGAGTATTGGGAGCTCTGGAGTGGCAACCGATATCTTCCCAGCCTAACTACAGAGTTAGGGATAAAACTCTAGTTTAGTTAATATTCTTTATGCACTTGGAAGAGGGTAAAGAATAGGATTGCTCCTATTTGACACAAAATAATTTTTATATATATTTTTTCAAATGATTTTAATTTCTTCCAATCCATATATTCATTATAAAGGGGAAAGAATGCTTTCTTAAATTTGAACTTTCCTTCATAAAAACTTAGTTTAATTTTCATAAATATACTTTTGAAACTTTATCATTTAGTTTAGTTAACTTTGTTCTTCAACTGCATTTTAATTAGCATTTATTCTATCACTTAATATTCAAATTTCACACTTTAATTTTTGTAGTTTTTAAAGTTATACTTTACATTATAATCTTAAGAACTTATTATAGGCATTTCCAATTTCTCTGTGGGATCAATATCTAGGACTCCAATAGAGCCATTTATTACTTGAGCGATACGTATACTTGCATTAATTTTAAAGAAGAATTGTCATTTTAAAGATTTTTAAAAGATAAAATTGTTTTAATTGAAGATATTTTGTTGGGATTAATTTGTATATTCGTTATTGTATCTGCCGTTTGTATTTTGTAATATTGAAAAATATTTACAAAACTAACACACTAAATCCACCTGCATCAAGTTTTTTTGGCATCGTTGTCGGGGAAATAACGGAAAGTAGTAGTAAGTTATTTTATAAATTATAGTATATTTATTTTTTTTAAATATTTGTAGTTTAGTTTGAATATTTTCTTATCTAAGTATGTTTGCTTATTTTTAAATTACTTGTGTTTGTTTATGCGTAGTGTAAGATCTAAAAATTTAGTACCTTACGTTTCTGAGTTAGAAAGAACAATTAAAAAATTTTGAAAACAACAAAAAAATATTGACCATATTAGCAAAATGGCTTGTAATTTGAGTAATGCTCGAAATAAAAATGAACATCATCAGAGACCTAAGAGATTATGTTAATCCTACAGCAGATGAAATTCAAAACTATCAGTTTGGTGAAACACCAACTGAAGATCCTAATTTACACCTTACTTGTTTTCTAGAATTGTGTACTACTTTTAAATATGATGGAGTGTCGAATGATATCGTCAGACTTAGACTCTTTTTTTTTCATTAAGAGATAAAGCTAAGATGTGGTTAAATTCATTAGCACCTGATTCTATCATAACTTAGGGAGATTTATCATAAAAATTTTTATCTAAATATTTCCCATCTTCAAAAACTGCTAAGCTTAAAAATGATATTACATCTTTTTATCAGTTTAAAAGGGAATCAATTTATGAAGCCTGAGAAAGATTGAAAGATCTCCTTAGAAAGTGTCCATACCATGCGTTGTCATATTGGTTAATAATTCAAACTTTGTATAATAGATAGGTTGGATCTCTTAGATTGATAATTGACGCTGCTGTTGGGGGATTATTAATGTCAAAACTATTCGAATAAGCATATTGTTTAATTGAAGAGATACTACTAAAAATTTTCAATGCCCTCTAGAAGGGTAAATAAAAAAAGAGTAGCTATTATTCAAGATTTTGATGCAATAGCTATGTTAGCTGCACAAAAAGCTGTTATATCGAAGAAGATAAATCAATATGAAATGAATTATTCTCAGACATCACCTGTACTTTGTTGACCTCATTTTGAGTTTTTTTTTTCTTCCCTAGATATCCTAAGATTTAGCCTTAGGATTTTTCTTTTTGACTCTCCTAGAGACTAGACTGGGATCTACACCACTTAGAAATTCGAGCTACTTCTTTGCCTTTTGAAGTTTCATATGGGCGGCTTCAGTTCCTCAACATTCGATTGATTTAATTGAAAAGTCGACATATTGAAGCTCAAATTGAACTCTTATAGGAACTTGAAAGACATAGGTGGACCCCACGACATTTGACGTTTGAATTTTTTCCGCGAGCAGTTCATTTGACTATGGTTGTCATTTAGGCGAGGATCAGTCATCAATTCGCTCTTTAAATGACTCCAATTGAACCAAAATAACTTCTTTTGCTGCAACACGTGCGAATTCAAGTTAAATTGGTATGATATTTGACGAACTTGTCCGGGTGATTCCGGATGATGAAAAGGACTGCACCGTTGCGTCCGGGACATCAATTTTAATCGGAAAAGATATATATCTTGATAGGTTTCTAAGTTGGAATAAATTGTGCGTAAATTGATATATTTTTAAATAAAATAAAACGATTTTAGTAAATGTAATTAAAAAAAATAAAAGAGAAAAACAAGAAATATAAAACCCACGCCTCCGCTTCTTCCGTCATGCCCTAACCGAACCTTCGCCTCCTCCTTCGGTGGTTGCCTGCTTTGCGAAGCTTCCTGCCGGTTTTCCAGTCACCTTTCTCCTTTCCGAGCCCTTGTCGCCGATGGCTTCGCTGGTAGCCCGTCTCTAACGGATTTTCCCGCCTAAACGAGTATGGTAACCTATCTATTTCGAATCTTGTTGGGTTTCTTAGTGATTCTACTCACCGTCCCGATGCTCACCGCCGGTGAGTCATTCTCTCATTTCTACCTATAAATACCTCCTCGAGAGGAAGATTTTGGGGGATTTTTTTTTTCAGTTAGGAACTTCTGGGAGAGTTTCGCTGCTGGGATTTTTTTTTAATTTCTTTTGAATTTGTGGGTTAAGAAAGAACTTTGGGCTGGCATTTCGTTTGGGCGGTTGGAGATCTCTTTTGATTCAGATTTTCTTTTTCTGCTTGCTCTCTTTAAGGTTTACAATTTCTGTGAGTAAAATTTCTCTCCTCCATTACTTTCTTCTTTAGTTATTAATGTGATATTTACCTTCATGGAGGAAGTTGTAGCTAGCTTATTCTTTACTCTATGGTTGATATATTTTGGGATTGCAACTGAATTTTCCTTGCTTTATTCTATAAAGTTGCAGTCAGCCTTATCTTAAGGTATTGGAATATTTGAGAACCATCTAGACAGCTTTCTCATGTTTATATTTTTTTTTGATACCGAGATAGAGTTGTAGTTAGTCTTCTTTGTTTTGGTTTGCTGATGCAGAACTCAAAAAATATGATGGTTTTTTTTTCTTCTTTTAGCCTGCTGGAATAAAATTTTGGAAATCTGAAATAAAAATTTTACATACATACCACTTAATTCTATTGTATTTACTAGTTGACTTGTAAGCTTCAGTTCTTTACATATATACACCACCTTATTTTGCATGAAGGGTGAATTCTAGTCTATCTTGAAGGATAAGATGAATATCACTATGAGTTAAAGAAGTTCAGCTTCATATGATCAACTGATTGTTCATGTTTGCTGAAAATATAAGAAGTTTTGTAATGACTGTTGATTTGAAGGATTCTTCTGTCTAATAACTTAATTTTTTTATTGATTAAACTCGTTTTGTGCTATGTGGCATGCTTTACTTGGTGGATTTTGCTTTAATGAATACAAGTTAGTGGATTTCGAAGGATTGTTATTTTCAGGGTTGTTCTTGTTCTATTATAAAGATGTAAATCTTTGGTTTAATTGCGGGATTGATCTCTTCTATTAAGGCTTGAAATGTTATCTACATTGGTGAGATTGCAACTGTATTATTTAGATGATCATGAATTTGTTTATATTTCTTTAATAAAATTAATTTTGTATTATATGGGGCTCGGTTTTGGTTCTCATTGCTGTCCCTTATTTAAATACATGCTGGAAATCAGTTTTTATGGTTTGGAAAATATATTTGGGGTTCGGATTTGGTTCTCCTTGCTGCCCTTTATTCAAATACATGCTTTTAGGGGCTCAGTTTTGGTTCTCCTTGCTGTCCCTTGTTTAAATACGTGCTGGAAATCAGTTTTTATGGTTTGGAAAATATATTTGGGGTTCGGTTTTGGTTCTCCTTGTTGCCCCTTATTCAAATACATGCTTGAGATCAGTTTTTTATGTTTTGGAATATATGTTTGGGGGCTTGATTTTAGTCCTCTTTGCTGCCCCTTGTTCGAGTATTGCTAGAAATCAGTTTTTATGGCTTGGAAAATATATTTAGGAGCTCGGTTTTGGTTCTCTTTGTTGTCCCTTGTTGAAATACATGCTGTAAATCATTTTATGGCTTGGAAAATATATTTGTGGTTCGATTTTGGTTCTCCTTGCTGCTCCTTGTTTGAATATTAGCTGGAATTTTTTTGTATGTTTTGGAATATATGTTTGGAGCTGCAGTTCTCGCTCCTCTTGCTGTCCTATTTGAATATATATTGAAAATTGTTTTTTAGCTTTGACAATTAGTTTTGGAGCTGTAGTTTTTTTTTGTTTCCCTTGTTATCTTATTTGAATACATATAAAAAATCATTTTATGGTTTCAAAAATTGATCGAACATTTTGGATTTGCTATTATTTTGGATAGTTGTTTTAGCGTCTCAAGTAATGGTTCGATGTTAGCCCCTTTATCGAGCTCGGTTCCGTTTCTTGATGGCTCGGTCTTGGCCCCTTTGTGATTTGGTTTTTCTTGGTGATAGTTTAGAATTTGTCCCAATTGTTTGACTTGGTTTTGTTTAGTGATGTTTCATTTTTTTTCGGCCAGCTATTGGATCACTTTTATTCTTTGGTTCTCTTTTACTTGTGAAGTATATCATATAATATTTTTTTGGATTTTAACCTCTTGTTGGAATTGGATTCCTGGTTACATAAATTTCATAGGTTTGAACTTGACAACATGAGAATAGACACATACTTCTCCTTGAAAAATTGATAGAACATGTAATGATCTTATGAATAGGTTTAAAGTTTGAACCCAGGTTTAATCATATGGACAGGTTTAAAGTTTGAACCTAAAGGTGGAAGGTGGATGTTATAGAAATGCTTAAATGATTACTTCTCTCATTTTCTTGATATGAGACATTCAAAATTTTGTTGGATGAGCATATGAAATATTGAGGAATATTGAGGTGGCGTGGCCTATTAGTTCGAGATGAGGGGCAACAGGCAATGATGCAAGAGAACCATTGATCAACTCTTCTTATAGCTGAAAATAAAAAATCAATATTCAGTTAGTGTGATGCCCTTTCACCCCTAAGTCGTCGACAACTCTAACACTTTTTCAAAAGGCTTGAGAATTGGTAATTAGGAAAGAATAGATACTATAAGTTTTGCACAGATACTACACTTATAAAAGAGCATATATTATAAGTTTTGCACATATACTACACTTGTAAAAGACTACACTTGTAAAAGAGCTACACTTGTAAAAGAGCAGATATTACAAGTTTTACACAGATACTACACTTGCAAAAGGAATAGATACTACACCCACAAAATGAGAAATCCTGCACTATAGACACTATACATTGGATTAATACCACGATACACAATAAACACTACACATTACACTCTACACGACACATACTACATTTGTAACACATCATACACTATACACTAGACACTCCACATAACAGATATCACAAGAATAAATATTATATTTCTTTTGAAAGTCTAGATACTATACATCATTTATCCTACGATCACGTATAGGCACACCACACCCCGATAAGTTCAGATACCATACATCACTTATCCTAACATCACACATAGGTGCACTACGCCCTGATAAGTTCAGATACTTTACATCACTTATCCTAACATCACATATAGGTGCACCACACCCTGATAAGTTCAGATATTATACATCACTTATCCTAACATCACACAAAGGTGCACTACGCCCGAATAAGTTCAGATACTATCTCACATGGGTACATTATACCTTTAACAAGATAAGTCCAAATACTATTTGGGTTCACACATTTTTTAAACGATGAGGTCTAGGGCTGCCTGATTACAGGGGTGATTCGTTGGTGACCTCTAGTTGATATTGATAAGTTGACTTCAATATATCAGTTGCCCGGTCTAGTCTGAGCCTAACCCCAAATTAAAAGCTAATATCCTACTTTAAATTTTTATAAGTTTATCGTTTATCCTTTCTTTTATAATCTGCAAATGTTTATCTAACCCCTTTATATCATGCAATTGTAATATGTTTTGTAACATCACCAGAATTAATCAGGTACATTTAGTTGTTTCAGTTTTAATCAGGTACATTTAGTTGTTTCAGTTTTGTTCCTTTACTGCATTTTTTTTATTGCACAGTGTTTCTTTTCTTTATATTTCCTTTCATAATTTTCCTTCAGTCTTTTCCTGTTATAGTACTTTACTACACAGTTGTTCTTTTCCTGTAACGCATCGTACTATAGACATTCATTTATATTTTGTACTTTCAAATATTATTTTCCTAGTATGTTTGTATAACACCCTAGGATAAGTCTTTCGAGGCATGGTGTTCTCTCTTCTCTCTCCCTTCTTCTCGAGACGAGACGACGATGCTTTCAAGTGACGATTCATCTCGAGACAACGATCGAGATTACAATAGAAGGTGGAAAAAGGAGCTTCAACCGAACTTCGATAGATTTAAATAAAACACCTATAGGACGCTGATGTCGTTCGTCTGGCATGATGTAAATTTTCACACTATCTTTTATGATTTTCTACGATTTCATGTCGTACGATATAAGTCCTAAACTTTTTTATGATTCCGAGGTCGTCGTTCGGTACGACATAAATCCTCTTATTTTCTCGGGCTATTTGCATATGATATTTAGATACAAGTCTCGAATATCTAAATAATTTGCAGGACTGAAATATCAAATAATTTCTCTTTCACAGATGCAAAGCTAAATCATAGGTTAGTTTGAGATGTTACTGAATCTTATTCGGCATCTTCGACATCTTTCTATTTTTCACTCCTTTAGATTCTGGAAATAACCGTTCATATTTGAACATATTCCATTTGACTTTTCTTATGAAGATGTTACTGAATCTTATTCGGCATCTTCGACATCTTTCTATTTTTCACTCCTTTAGATTCTGGAAATAACCGTTCATATTTGAACATATTCCATTTGACTTTTCTTATGAAAAATCGTGGAAACCTAAACATTGAATTCTTGAAGACAAATCCTGATCTTAATCGAGAGTTTTCTAAGGTGGCTTCGGTTGTCTAATATGTAATTAACTATAGGGGCTTGCCTCTATAGCATATTGAGAACCCAGATTAATCTAAACCCTGTCTAATCTGTGTATTAGATAGGGGAACTTGTCGGCTATAAATTTTGCAGACCAAAATAGAGTCATAAACTTTTAAGTTTAGATAGTTAAGCCTACTAATAAGTGATACGTTCATTCTTTGAGATGATATATCATTTATGATATCGTGCTCAGCTATTTAAACTATTAGATATGTGAGATCTATCCAGTCTCATAATTTTTCAAAAATAAAGGATATTATTTTCACAAAATTAAAATTAAATTATATATTATACTAAATTTAAAATTTAAAAATCTTATTTTAAAAAAAAAAAATAGCCGACAATTTATGGCGACTCCGCTGGGGAATAATTCTTCTCTCCATTTTGATCATGAGGTTTT